GTAAGAGCGCCGGAACGTGACCCGTTTGTACGATGCATCTCCGTCTCTTCTTTCTCCTTTTAGATTAGTCTGAGATTTGGGTAAATTTTAGGAGATGTTTGCGGCTTGGCTTATATTCCTTGCAAGTGTTGAAGCATACTGGTTGGCCTTCTTTTTTCGTGCTTTCCTGTCAACTCATGAATGTTGCCTGTGAGTCTGAATTTCCTGAAAGTGTTTCGTCACATTAGCTGTTTGTTACCTAAACATAATAGCCGGTAGATGTAAATGTATGCCTTTTGCTGCCTTTTTGAAATACGAGACAGCAGCCACATCAAAACATCACAAGAGAGTCCTTAATAACACCAAGATCCTCAGGATCAGGAGGAAAGCGAAAACATAACGCAAACGGCATCGTTAGGGGAAGTAGGAAGTGGTTGCGCCACAGTCCTGTCGGCGACTTGTTGACCCTGGCCGTACAGGTACTCCCAACGGGACTTTAGAAAAGATGTTTGGAAAGGAGCATTGGGTGCTGGATCCTATATGGACTCAAACAGGTTCCTCGGTGCCCAGATCTTACCAATGGATCCCGGGTTTATAGACTTGGGGTTATCTTTGGCAAGTCGAGTCAACGGTCCGGCGGACAGGCTGGAAGGAGACGTGGTCCTTCGGGATGCGTAGTTATCCGCTCCATGGACGTCCCCGGTGGAAGGAGGAGGGAGACCAAGGGCGCCCTCCTTCGCCTCCGCAGTGGACGGAGACGCCACTGGTACGACAAGTTTTCTCAAAACTTATGTCAACTACATATTATATGATGGAGCCGACACGGTTGGGCGGTTCGCTGGGCTTCTTATGTAAGGTAGTCCAGGTGGTTGAGTCCATGATGATCACTTCCCAATGCATCTCCCGGGCTGAAAATAAACCCCGCATTTCCTCTCCTGGAGGCAGAAGGAACTAGAAAAGCCATATATGTGACTGTTATTTTTACGTATGCTCTTGTCAGAAGAGCTGTCAGTGGGACTTGTGAAGGCATTCTTGTGTCATGTCGAGGCTCTCGTGCCGCCCTGTCACTAGTCATACTGTCATTCGATTGTTAATTACAACCCTAATGGGCCGAAAATGAGAGCACAGCCCTCACGGCGTCCCGCAGAAATTTCCCCCCCTAATCAAAAACCTTGTAAGTCTACTGGATGAAGTACACACGTGCACATACACATACACCCCACTTACACAGACGCACACACATACTCGCACATTGTTACCGTTTCTCTCCCCCGGAAAGACACTCGCAAGGTCACATCATGACGATCGGACGAACCTCTTTAGCTTTCGGTCATGCGCTGGCTGGTGGCGGTCATCCGAATGGTCTCAGGAAGACTGTGCATGACACCTCGGTCCGTGTCATTTCGGGCTTCGTTTGGCCCAAAGAACGAAGAGTTTGGGCCGCAGGAGAGGCGTTTTAGCCCCGGATTCGCGACGACGAAAGCCCGAAAAGATATGAAAGGTGAGCGAGTCCCTCTGCTCGCCGCCAATGGTTAGACAAGGTTGAAAGAAGAAACTATCTAGATCGGTGACGAGCAAATCGCGGCTTTACGAGCACGAGGAAAAATGTATTAGAGTTGACTGTGTGTGGAAGTTAAACTACACCTCTTTGCATATATGCATATATGTGTGTGTGTGTGTGTGTGTGTGTGTGTGTGTGTGTGTGTGTGTGTGTGTATGTATGTATGTATGTATGTATGTATGTATGTATGTATGTATACATATATATATATTATGTGTGTGTGTGTGCATATATATATATATATATATATATATATATATATATATATATATATATACATACGCATATATGCACACGTATGAACATACATATATATGTATATATATATATATATATAATATATATATATATATATATATATATATATATATATATATATATACATATATATGTATATATGTGTGTATATATATGTATATGTGTGTGTGTGTGTGTGTTCGTGAGCGCGCGCGTGTGTATGTGTATATACCTACATATGAAACAATTTATCCATTCATCTCCGTAGAGGCACAGGGCCAAGAGGGCAATACCGCGCACTGCGTCGCAGGCCCGTGCCTTCCACCCGCGGCGAGGGCGTTCTTCCCCCCCCCCCACCCCCAGGGCCTTTATCAGTCAAATCTTATCGCGTCGGAGAGCAAGCGTCGCGCGGGTTGCGGGCGCGGCCAAGAGCGTTGCTCCAATGGCCAGGCGCGCAGGCACAACAGTTACCTGGCCTTCGCACAGGGTCGCTTCTAACTTTCTAACAAGAGAGACAAGACGGCCTGTAAAGAGGAACCTTTTTGCCTTACTTTTTTGCCCTTGACATACAGCGCATATCAAAAAACAACACGCGTATCTGGCCGATCTCCGGCGCTGCCCTCCTTCTATACCTTTCTCGGGCGGGAGGTCCGCAGCCTATTCCTTCTTTGTCTTCTTGTTCTTCTTGTTATTATTATTCTCTTTCCTCCTTGTCGTCGTCGTCATCATCATCATCATCATCATCATCATCATCATCATCATCATCATCATCATCATCATCATCATCGTCATCATCATCATCATCATCATCATCATCATCATCATCATCATCATCGCCATCATCATCATCATCATCATCATCATCATCATCATCATCATCGAGATGAACCTTTTGGCGTGATGTTGTTCTTTAGAAGTAAAAGATGATATCGTAATCATTTGTCATTCATTCCGGCGACACAATAAAAGGTATACATATATGCCATATATATTTGTTTCCATTTATCCCAAGACCCAGACGCGAACGACGGGTAAATTGGGAAATCCTGAAATCCTGAAACTTTACCCAGACGGCAGAGCGACCCAGCAGCACCTTCGCCCGATAAAACCCAGCTGGAGAAAGAATGAGGCCATGACGTCACGACCACATAGCGTCGGAAGGCTGCCACAGGTCGGGGCGGAGGGAGGCAGGAGGGAATGGCGTGGCACCCCCTCCCTGCCTCCTCCTTCTCCCCCTGCCCCCCTCCCCCTCCTTCTCCGACTCGCTCAGGAGGAGGAGGGGGTGGGGGACAGATCCTGGGTCTGACCGGAGGCTGGGTATAACTGCATTGTGATTACCTTCTCTTGCTTCCTATCGTCCTCTGGTCTCATTCTCCTCTTCGCTTCTCATCTCTCCCTCCCTTTCCTCCCTCTTTCCTTCCCTCCCTCTCCTCCCTCCCTCCCTCCCTCCCTTTCCTCCCCTCTTTGGCGCCAGCCTCTCCCGGTCTGAATCGAATAATATACCTGCCAGGGTGAGAACATACCTTGACACCGAGGAGGATATAGGCTGTCCTGTCTGGAAAAGACCTGTTAGGCGTCCTTCGTGGGAACGTTGGGAGGCGTGGCCGTCGGGGAGCGTCACGTAGGCTCAGGTTGCCTCCTCGAGCTGAATGCTAATCAGTTGGGAGCCTCATTGACTCTATGGGCATTGCTGGTCGGATTTTCCTCCCCCTCCTCCCCCCTCCTTTTTATGCCTTTCTGTTTCTTCAGGAGGTCAAAAGGGACAAGTAAGACAGAAAGATTCGTTTGGATAACTTCGCTGTCAAATTTGGCGCTAAGTATCTCTTCGCTATGCTATAAATAAGGCTATCGCACACGTTATGTCACTTAAATCTCCCGATGCTGTAAGGTCACCGTATGGCTATCCACTCCTGTTCAAATGTCAGCTGATGATGACGCCTTGTGTCTCAGCCAATCACCACGAAACCTTTCTTCCCCGAGCTCCACCTCTTCGCGCTGAAGGCTGACGTTACCAAATAGCAAAGGTCGGGCTACCACATGCTCAATTTCCTCACCTTAAAAAAAAAAATTTGTTTGGGTCACCTGACAGTTCACCCCCCTGTCCCCCCTACCCATCCTCCCCCTACCCATCCTCCCCCTTCCCATCCTCCCCCTACCCATCCTCTCCCCTCCCTGGCCTTCCCTGCCTCCCTGCCCTTTTGCTCCTGCGGGTTTCAGAACGGCCTCGGATGAACCTTTCAGGGGCGAGGCCCAGTCCCCAGGCGGCGTAGGTGGCGTTATAGAACCTTCACTTACTCACCTAGGCTTAAAACTGGTGCTCCCGATGACCTGCCCTTCGGTAATTTCTAAATCTTCTCATCAAGGAAAAAACGTGACTGAGATATTAGGAATAGCCCCCCTTCCTCTCTCTCTCTCTCTCTCTCTCTCTCTCTCTCTCTCCCTCTCCCTCTCCCTCTCCCTCTCCCTCTCCCTCTCCCTCTCCCTCTCCCTCTCCCTCCTCCCTCCCTCCCTCCCTCCCTCCCTCCCTCCCCCCCTCTCTCCCTAGCCCAGATATTCCGTAAAAGAATGTACTTCTTGTCTCTTTGTACAGTACTTCTGCCATTCCTATTCATCACACCCTGCCGTTTCTCATAACATGTCTATCCTTGGATAACTGTCTGCTTTGTATGATAATTACTGGGCTCTTTGGATGGCTGCCAATGTTCTAGGATAACTGTCCTCCTCTGTCTCGAATTACACTGAAAGCGGGTCAACAAGCCATGACTCTCAGCTTGTTACGGTTTGTGATATTTGATATCTATTGTTCCTTTTTTTCCGCTGGATTATTCGTTGAGAGGTTACCTTGTTGAGAATCGGGTAATTAGCCGTAGAAAAAAATAAGTGTATTTTTAGTTATACACCTTAATCGCTTTTTGGAGTTTCCTTTAATAACGTCGCCACCGCAGAGCCACTGGTGTGTTGCCGCACGCATGAGTCACTCTGTCCAGGTACGCGCTGAGCTTCAATAAGTCACTTTCATTTAGAGAGTGAGAAAGTGTCCCCCTCTGCCCCTCCTCCCTCGTCCCCCTACACCGAGTAACCTTGGTAACGTCACCCCGCCAGGTACGCGCGCGCACGCACACAACCTCCTCCTCCTCCTCCCCCTCCCCGCCCCCCTTCCCAGCCTTTCCTGTTGTCTACTCTCCCCTCTTCCCCTCCCCCCACCCCCTAACCCACCCTACCT